TCATCATGAAAAGAAAAAAAATGTAAAAGGAAAAAGGCAAGAGGTGAGGTCAGGCTGAGCTAGTTGCTGCCAGTCACTGTGGATGACTCTGCTTAACTGTTTACAAAAGCCTCTAAAAAAGTGGCCTCTACAGGAGGCGGCAGAACGACATGCCTCACCTATGTCAGGAATTTTTAGGCTTTTAACTTAACTCTGCTCGAGTGATCATAGGCACGCCGTTCTCCTGCCTCCTCCTGTAGAGGGTGCTTTTTTAGAGGCTTTTTTAAACAGTTAAGCAGAGTCATCCACAGTGACTGGCAGCAACTAGCTCAGCCTGACCTCAGCTCTTGCCTTTTTCCTTTTACATTTTTTATCTTTTCATGATGACAGTGGTGAGGCTCTGCCTCCCCTGCCTCCCCTGACTGCACGTCCCTGATAGCTTTCAAGTTTGGTTAGTGCAGCTACCTGCTTTCCAGGTAACTGAAGCCTTTCTCTGTTTTATTTATTTCATTTATTTATTAGTTTTATATTCCACTTTTATTACTTTATAAATACAGCAGCGAACATATATAATACTATTACAACTATTTTCCTCACAACAACCTTGTGGGCTGGGCTGGGCTGGGCTGAGAGAGACCGACTGGCCCAAAGCTTTCATACCTAAGTCCAGACTAGAACTTCTGAAGCCTCCTGAAGCCTCCGAAGGGAGAAAAACAGCCCAATGGGCAACACAGAAGTCCATTCCTGAACTTCCAGTTTGTGCATTGGGCTGTTTTTTGCCCTCTGGAGGCTTCAAGGATGCCTCCTGAAGCCTCTGGAGGGCGAAAAACGGACCTACTGGGCCCACTGGAAATTGGAAAATGGACCTCCAGAGGGTCTCCGGGTGGACTGGGGAGGCCATTTTCTCCCTCCCCAGGCTCAAGAAAGCTATCCACACATGTACAAGGCAACGGGGGGAGGGGGTTTCACGCATGCATGCACAGGGGGCACAGTGCAGGGGGCATTAAATTATAGGGGTTGGCACATGAGCAGACACGATAGGGCGCATGTTTTTGGCACCCAAGGCAAAAAGGTTCGCCATCACTGATCTAGATTCTAAACCAAACTCCTTCTGTTTAGTTTTTCTGAAGAAAGCAGCATCACAGCATTGCATCACAAGTTCCTCACTTTTGATTGTGTGATACCTAACAATATTGGTATTACTGCAACAGTGCTTATATCAATCACCCTGATCTCCATTGCCCATGCCCTATGGACATTATTGCTGCGATGTCAGTCAAATTGGAAGAGCCAATTTTATGTCCAGTCAGTTAAATCAGTATGCAGGCATGATGGGCAGCTTAGCAATTTGATATAAATAAATAAAATAAAATGAATATAGGTAGTCCTCAACTTAAGATTCATTTGGTCACTGTTTGAAATTACAACAGCATGAAAAAAGTGTCATATAACTATTTTTCAGACTTATGACCATTGCAGCAGCCCCATGGTCACATGAGCAAAATTCAGAAACTTGGCAACTGGCATGTATTTATGAAGGTTGCAGTGTCCCAGCATCATGTAATCACCGACTGCAACCTTCTGACTAGCAAAGTCAATGGGGAAGCCAGATTCACTTAACAATTGTGTTACTAAATTAACAACTGCAGTGATTCACTTAACAACTGGCAAGAAAGGTTGTAAAATGGGACAAAACTCACTTTTCAACTGTCTTGCTTAGCAACAGAAATTTTGGGCTCAATTGTGGTCATAAGTCAAGGATTACCTGTAAATAAAACTCTAGTCTTCCATCTAGTATCTACAAGAACCACACTATGGCTTGCTAGAAATCAAACAGCTTTGAATGTCAAGCAACGTTTCTTGCCATCATAGTAGATGCCTTTAACCAAAATCTGCTCTTTCTGATTATTGAGGATTTTTTTTACTGCTATATTTGTCCATGTTCTGAACAGAAACCAGATGGGTGAAGCTGCTCTTCCTGAAGAAGAGAAATCAGGCAAAGGAGGTGGAAAAGGGTCTCTTTTACTTCCTTCTACATAACAGAAGATGGATGAACAGGAGATGGGCAATGCTCCATCCTGGGAAAGTTATAAATGGTGATCAGGTGACCCCAGGGACTCTACAATAGTTGTAAATACGTTTCGGAGTATAAGACGCACCCTTTTTCCTCAAAAAAGAGGCTGAAAATCTGTGTGCGTCTTATACATTTTTGGCCTCCCAAAGCCCCGCCCCCTTCATGAAAATGGCCGTGCATAGCCTTATGAAGGCTTTCAGAGAGCTCCTGGGGCCTGGGGAGGGCACAAATGAGCAGAAACGGGCCGTTTTTGCCCCCTAGCCCCAAGCAGCACTCTATAAGCTTCCATAAGGCTATGCATGCAATTTTTTTGACAAAAAAGAGCCCATTTTTGTGAAAAACGGCCATCTTTTGCTCGTTTTTGCTCCCCCCACTGCCCCAGGAGCACTCTTCAAGTTCCCCCCAAGGCTATTCATGCCTTTTTTTAAAAAAAATGGGCCCATTTCCCAAAAACTGGGGCATTTTTGGGAGGTTTGCAGAGTGCAAAAAACTTTTTTTTACCTTTTGGAAAGCTCTTTAACTGATTGACGAGAATTACATTGATCAAATGCTGTGCCAGCAGAAACAAAGTCTTAGGTGCTGCAGATTGCCAGCGATTTCCTTCTCCAGCACATGGATAAATACACCTGGAAACATCTACCTACCTACCTATTGTATTTCTTTCTCTGTGTTTCTTTCTATCTATCTATCTATCTATCTATCTATCTATCTATCTATCTATCTATCT